CTGAACCCGGCCGGACTCAGAGTACTGGGGATCGACAAAAGTTGCGGCAACTTGCTACTTGAGGTGTGGGAAATTTACTCGGGTGCCAGGGTTAGTCCGTGAACAGCAGGGTGACGAAGAGGGTGATATTGGGAATAGTGTACGTGCTAATGGGGGTATGTTGAACGCTTGTAAAATTCGTTTGAACGATTTTTGCTCTACTATTGGTTGAACTATCTATTCGCGGGTTTCTATTCGATATTTGCCACTTTAGTTCATGAGTGTTACTTGGTGGAAATTGAAGTGCACAATTCCTGATCAAGGTTTCCGTAATATTATAATAATAATAAAAATTGGGGAAACAGGAAACCAAACGCGACATCAAGAGTGCTCCCTCCCTCTTCCTTTTGAAACCACCCCCTCTGATTGCTACCCCGTTCTCCTTCCCACCACTCCCCCTTCCCTCAACTCAACCCTCCCACCCACTATAGCCCCCGCTGGCCTAATAGCCCCACCCTCAACTCCCCCTCCCCTCCAGGCCCTATACTCTGTTCAATCCTGCTCGCTGTGAAACTTGATTGCCGGATTTGGCCCCGGGGCCACCTTCGCTTCTTTGTCCATGCTTGCTAGGGTTCTCCGCAAGATTTCCACTTTGAGTGTGTCTTTTTCGCCACGAGGTAAGTCATCGGGGTCACGGCGAGTGGCACGTAGGCTGTCGTAAGAGATGACTTTCACCGCGATCTACGTAGTCCTGTGATTAGCCGTGAGTGATACCGGGGAAGGGAACAGCAGTCAACCGCCAGACCAAATGTGCCCATGATCCATTGGAACCATGAACGCAACTCATCGACTCCTGCATTCGTTGCTCCAAAATTCTCCTTTAAGTCCATTATCAACTCAACCTTAAGCTCGTCCGTCATCTTTTTGAGTCCCTCCTCGATAGTGGTGTTGTAGCTCTAGATGATAGTTAGAGTATTACCCACTTTAACGCCTAGGGAGTGTCCAAGTAATAATTACCTTCTCCGACCTGGTCTCTCGGTTATCCAAATCATCCTTTGTCGTACGTGGGTGCCGTTCAGTGATCCCAAGCCGCCTGTCCGGACCACAGTCCGGACTACAGGTCGGCAGTCCGGTCAGTCCGGCCTTGGTTTTGAAAAGCCTAGGCCAGTCCGGTCGAAATTCTCTGTGGCCGCCAAAGCCCGGCAGCGCCCAGGCAACCGCCGGGTCGAGTCTTGGCGCAACCTAGGCGAGAGCCGCCAGATGCCTGGGGAAAGCAGCTAGATGCCCAGGTAATCTGAAGATATCTATGGACGGTGTGCAGGGTTTCCACTTTGAATCACTCGGAACAGGATATCAGGAGCAATATGCACCTGACCTTACAGATCTCGCTTAAGGTAAATGCATGACTTCCAGCGACGAACCCCCGCTGTACCCAAATATGCTGTCCTACCTCAAGACACTATACTATTCTTCACACAACTCTCTGGCCACCCCGGGTGAATATGTATTGTCCGCATGAAACAGTTAGTCCTGTTGGATAATGAAATATTTCTTGGCAGTGAAACACACGTGAGCCCTTGAAACATCGGCCTGCGGGTGACCCAGGCCGGGCCCGGTTTTGGTTTGGAAAAGCCGCTTTCCCACAGTCCGGCCGTACTCAAAGCCGGACGAACTAGCCGCTTGGGATCACTAGTGCCGTTGTCCGTGGTGTGCTTATATTCAGCCACATAATGGGTAACTATACTCGTATAGGGTAAAAAACATGAGCACTGGTCTCTGAATACCTCGGGCCGTCATGATACGTTGGCCTAAAGGATGTTGTCCCGGCCCGCAACAAACAAGATAGGGCAATAGGGGTACGAATAAAGGGGAATCTCGGTATAACCCGATTGAATAACATGATTCGGTGGTATGCGAGATTGCGGATGAAAGAAAACGGTGGACGGAAAATGAAAAGTTTGTGGAGGGAAAGGATGTGGGAGGTTTAGGTAGGAAGGGCTTCTGGTATACCGGTATATGTACGAGTACTGTGATCAGTTTTACACATCGCCGGCGGATATCCTGGATGGTATAGCGGGTGAGTTGGGGGTTGTCGGGGTGAAGGCTGGGATTACCGGTATTGTGGTCAAGGTAAATATGAACAGATTTGTTATGTATTGATCAGGAGTGAATCATTATGTGGTTGCATGGTGTAAATTAGTTGGTTATCATACCACTCTAACACACTGATGGTCCCTAGTTCGAACCCGGGTGAAATGTATTTTTATTTTTTATTTTTATCCACTCCTCTCGTGCTGGGCATCGCTTTTGCCCTGCGCTGCCACGAGCCCAGTCCCTTCTATATACACTGCTTCGTCCATCACTCCTGATGCGGCGCCATGTGCGCTGCCGCAAGCCCGGAGCCTTAATGCCTGTCTCCTGCCAAAATCCGATCCAATATCGAAAATGATGTGCGGATCTACACGACAGTTGGCGCCAGAGACTTCCACCCCCACCCCCAACAGTCCCGACAAACACCGCAGTCTCCGGCTATCCTCTTTGTTTCTCTCTCTTCACTCTCTCGCAAAGTCACCGATGTATCATAACTCGCCAAGTGAGTCAAGCTTCCCCCGAGCGAGCTGTTCCGCACCGCACAGCGTGCCCAGAGGCTTAACAACCTACTCGTATGTATCTTACCAGGCCGGCTAAACCTTTCCTCTATAATTTTATGATAATGTTATTATTACGACATCCCCCGCACGGTGGATTTGGAGTTATCAGTGCCGAAATCATGCGTCATTGGGGGAAGGGGTGCACGCAATCCTGCCGCAGAGTTGGTGATGAGGAAATGAGAACAAGCAGGATTGGGGGTGTGCAAGGTACAGGAAGGTGGAAGGGTACCAGTAGTTTAAGTATATGATAGAGGGGTAGTGTGATGCAGAACTCATTTAGCGCCCAAGTCGGGCTTCACGAATACGCAATTGACCCTCCAAGGCGGCGGGGCGAGTGATCATCCATGACGCGGATACTGTGCCTTGGGTGCGGAAACAAAAGTATTGTTACACCAACCACTTTTTTTTTTCTTTTTCCGATCACTTCTCGCTCCAGGCTAATGAAGGGGTGGTATGGAAGGAGGGATGGGTAGGGGGATATTGTTGCCGTGGGTAGAAGGGGATATGGGTTGGTTGGGAAGGAAGAGCGAGGAGGAGAGAATAAGAATATTGGAAGGGGCAAGGGAGAGGCGTAGGAGGGTAGGAAGCGCAAGAGACGGGGTAAAAAGGAGCATAGGAGAGAAGGAGGAAAGAGTACGAAGGAGATGTTATTGGAGAGGGAGAGGGAGTAGGAGTAGGGTGAGGAAAGATTTATGTGGTGTGTTTTCATATGGGGACGAAGAAGGGCAGATGCTTTAGATTAGCAGAGAAAGCCCGAAGAGAATAAACTTTTATAAAAAAATAAAAAATAAAAAAGTACGGCGAACTTTGGTTGTACACGCAAAAAATTAGATGTTTGTGGCCACCAGGGCAGCCAATCTTCTCCACAATTTTTGAGGTGGAAAAAAGTCTGGCGAATGCTTGACAATGAAACAAACCATACTGACTCCCATAATTTGCTAATCGGCCAACGAGTCAACTGGAATGACTTCGCCAGACTTACCCACCGCCCCCTGCAGAATGGTCTCATGCTGGGACCACCAGCAGAAAAGGTCTAATGCGAAAAGGGCAAAGTATATCATGGGTACTTATTGCTAACATACAGCGGGGACCAAAAAAGCAGGCATGGCTAAAACTGAAATTCAAACGTCCCCACCCCCATATCCCACATTTATGAAAATCATTCACCCCCCGCACTGCCCACTTTCTTCACCAGATGCTCCGGTCCCCGGGCAGCAGTATCAAGGTTAGTTCTATTCTCGGAAGAACCAGTCGGTTGGTCGGCCGCGGCTCCCACGAGGGTTGTATTGGTCCACGAAGTTGACTTTGCCGTTCTCGCCGCGAAGGTCGGCCTCGACCATTCTAGCGACCCGCCTCTCTTGGGTGGAGAGGTCTTGCATGGCATTGTTCTTCCAGCCGTCAATGACGTATAGGCCACGCTCAACTTCTTCAGTTAGGCGGCCGACTTTCGCGTCGATGCTTTCTACCGGTTCGGCAACTTTGCTGCTCTCTGCTTCCGCTTCTGCCTTCTTACCACCCCCACCTCCGACCTACCTCCAAACTTCCTCCAGCTCATCCGTCCACCCCAGCTCATCCGTCCACCCCAGCTCCTCCGACAGCCTTCTCGCCCCCAGATCGTACCCGCCCAGTAAAAGTACGTCGTCCGCCCGTCCACCAATCCTCCCCGCCCTCTTATCACTGGTTAAAAACCCGGATCGCCCCTTCCCTTGCCCGTCCGGGAAGCGCGGCAAACCGGTAACGCTCAATGAGCTCCCCATCATGATCACTAAGTCCGCCTCCTCGACCATTCTAAGTTCCATATGAAACTCGCTCCGGGAGGATTTATGAAGCTTCCCCGCGAACCACTATGCTTAAGCTTGCCATCTCTCCATCCATATTATCCACCTATATACACTTTACCAGACCAAAGCTAACAAACAGCCCAGACGTCCCTGCCACCCACCATCTTCCAACCCCGCAGACCTCCCAAACTAATTGAAAGTAACCGGAGGCCTGACGCTACACACAGTTACGGCCAAAGCGCTCACGGGTACACTCCACCGAATTGTTGACCATTCCAACCCCTTCTTCAACATGCTCGTGTGCATCCTGGCAACGTGGTGCATGTTCTCAGTCAAATACCTCCATTCTGGAACCCAGGACTACCCCAAATTCCGACACTGAAGTCTCGCCAGCAGGATCTACACCTACTTCTCAACCCCCATACACTCTTGCGTGGACGTTGTTGCGCACCTCAAACTCGTGGCCACGATCGGCTACGAGCCATTATACCAACACTCCACTCAAAAGCGAAGCTTGAGGGGGTATGCAGGAAGATTAACAACTGATATCGCAATGCATGGGTAGCCAGGAGAGCTAGCATCAAGTGCTATGTTGGAACACGCACTACGACTATGTGGGAAGGTTATCGAGAAGAAGGACCAGCTGATGGGGACATTCACGAGTGGGTTTGTATGGTATTTGTGGGTAGGATTGGGGTTGAAATCTTGATCCGTGTGAGGGATTTGGTACCCGTCAAGCCAAAATTTGCGCTTAATACTAAGAATCATTTGCTCGCAGTTGCCGGGTCTGCGGGGAATCGGTCTGTGGGATCGTTTGATCATGTTGTGGTGAAAGTTATGGACGATGTCGAGGAGCGCATTGGAGAGAGGAATATCAAGATGATGCTGGTGAGTGTTAACGGTCCGGAGCTTGAGCGAATGAAGAGATTATATTGACTACGAACTGCTGTTGGCAGTGATGGTGGCTATAATACAAATACTGCTGCTCCTCCACACCGACAGTCTATAGCCATAAAGATTGTTATGTCAAGATAAACATCCTATATCCCGAAAAGCCCTATCCCCCAGCTTCATTCCCGGTATCATACTGTACATTTTCAACTCCAGCAGCCTCTCAGACGGCTTGTCTGTTGTTGGAAGTCTGCTCTGTTCGTATAACTCTACTACTAATTCCCAGCACTGTAGCGTACAGGGATGTCACGCAAAAGCTAAGCGGGTGTCACAGACCCAAGTATTAAAGATTTTTACTACTTACTATCATTATTGCAGTGTCCGACCAGGGAAAGTCAAGCCTAGAATTTATTTTGTTCCCAATGCAACATTTATATCACCAAAAGGCCACGATGGTGAAAAGAGGGATGGAAAGACGCTCATGCTTTGCTCGCAGTGCCCAACTGGCATGGTGAACGTATGATTGATTCTTTTGGCCGGCAGAGTATATAGTTTTTATGGGGATAAGAAGTAGTTTGGATCGGTGACATTGAGGCAAAGGGACAAACAACTTAGATTATCTAGAGTGGGATCATGGCTTTTTTTTTAAGTGGGTGCGGTTCGTTAGAGCATCAGATATATGTTCATCGAGCTTGCCTCGCTATCTGCCTGCCAGTTTACTAAGAACCAACGAAGGAAGATAAGATCTGAGCAATTGTGACGTACCATAAAAAATTCCATTTTTGTTTCTTTTAACATACCCAAATTTAATAGCTACTTACAGTAGATTTATTATTCACTTTATATCTTATATGTAAACACAGATATATTGTTAATAACTGGTGGTATGGAAACCCATTAGAATTGAATAAGCTTAAAAAAAAAGAAACTCCTATTTTTTATAGGGCGTTACACTTGCTTCCGCGTCACACTTGCTTCCACCGACTATGAGCGACAGCGAAATAGGAGGGGAACCGGCTGTTTGATTTGTGAGTAAGCGCTTGGGGTTTCAGTGTTTCACAGACTATCACTCGTTCGCTTCAACGGCTGCCCGGCAATCGAATTTTCGAAAAGTTTGTGACCCAGTCATGCATTGATTGTCATCCTGCATACCCAACAGATACAATGAAGAAGCATCCTCTCGCCGGAAGTGTTCCGTGCGAGGCTTGCGCCGGGTTAGTGAAGCCGAACACTGTATTATTTGGGGAGGGCTTGCCGCAGGAGTTTCGTGTGGAGCTTGGAGTGGGCGAGGAGGCGGACTTGGTTCTTGTGATGGGGAGCTCATTGAGCGTTTCCCATTTGCGGCGCTTCCGGGACGGGCGAGGGTGGGGGCGGTCGGGGCTTTACTTAATAATAACAGGATGGGGGGGATTGTTGGCCGGGCGGGCAATGTTCTTTTGCTAGATGGGTGTGATCAGGGGGTGAGAAAGCTTGAGGCAGGGCTGGAGTGGGCAGAGGAACTAGAGGAAGTTTGGGGGTCGGTCGGCGGGAAGGATAAGAAGGCGGAAGGAGAGGCTGAGAGCAGGAAGCATAGAGGCAAAAGTCGGCTGACTAACTGAAGAAGTTGAGCGTACTATCCGTCACTAACGGCTGGAAGGACAGCGTGGTAAATGACCTCCACCCAAGAGATATGGATCGCCAGAATGGTTGAGGCTGACCTTCGCGGCGCGAATGGCGGTTTCAGTCTCATGGACCAGGGGAAGCTCTAGGGTGCAGAAGTCGACCAACCAACTGGTTTTTCCGAGGATAGCACTAACCTCTATACTGCCGCCTGGGAGTTGGAGCATCTGGTGAAGAAGTGGGTAGCACGGGGGGTGAACCATTATCACAAAATGTCGGACAACGGGGTGGGAGTAGGGATGCTTAGGTTTCCGGTTCTAACTTGGTTTTTCGCTGGCTGCGGTATGTTAGCTGGTTAGTTGTTTTTGTTGAGCAATGAGTACGGATGATATAGTTTGGCTTTTTCTCATTAGACTTTTTCCGATCATGGAGTGCTATGATACCAACATGAGCTGTTGCCATCATGAATGATCACTCACGTCGCACCCTACGACGGTCTGTTGTGTTCGTGAAACCAGGCTTGGAAGCCCAATAGATGAATTCTGCATCGCGCTACTCCTCTATTATATGCTAAAACTATTGTCACCCTTCCACCTTCCAGCACCTTGTACACCCCCAATCCTGCTTGTTGGTTTCATTGTTTGGCTGTCTTGTTAGCTTAACTTGCGTCTGTGGCATAATTACTCTAGCTCGTTTATATCAGATACTTTTTTTTTAAGCCGGGTCCTCAAAGTTTTCCTACTAGGATGTCGTTCTCCTCATAAATTATCGCTCGCTAGTTAATCCCTTAGAATCTTGAAGAATGGAAGTATATATCATGTAGTCGAAAATTCCCTACCTCAGAAAAGTGGAGAAATCGCTGCAAAAATGATCTGCTCAGCCCCTATAGGAAACATGGAAACAAAAAAACACCAGACCTTATCATAGGAGCCAACTCCAATGACACAGTTCAGGGTTCAATTATTTGAGCTTATGCGATAGCCTGCATACCAGCCATAGAACAAATGACCTTTTTCGCTATGGATGTGGCCGGATTACCGAATTTCATATCCAGCTAGTGAGGTACCGGCGCCACTTCAACTAGGTACAAAGTGCTCCCACCCACCACCTGTCCCATCTTCCAAGCAATATATCCACCGAACGGCCATCTGCAACCCGACCCAGAGCCCTGTCTTGCGATATTGGACACCTCCGTCAGTCACTTAGGCAGCTCATACAAATCCACGATAGCCCGAACTAAAGCTGCGAAGCTAGTAGCAGTGAATGCACGTTCAGCTGCAGTTGGGAAGTTGTCCTCGGAAACAGCATGAATAAAGTACCTGCTCAACTTATGCAGGAACAGATTGGTATCCTCATAGCTCTTTCTCAAAAATTTGAGTTCGTGAAGTACGCAGTTTGCCCGCTCCCTGAGCTTAACCATTTGGCCAGTGGGGATTCTCCGTGAAGGTGCTGCTATAGCCTGCAGTTGTGTGAGTTCTTAGGTCAGCTTGGGAGGGAGAGGCGTTGGTGGAATGATTGAACTTTGTGTCGCACTTGTGCCAGTACATATTTAGGAATATGTTAATGAGGGGACTATTCGATTTTAGGGTTATAGGAGGAAGGAGTAGGGGAGAGGAGGATTGAGCTGGGTCGGATGGAACGGAGTCGGGAGCTGAAGGGGTAAAAACATACTTGATGACAGCAATGTTGACAGGGGCGGTGGTGCTCGCAGAGCAGACCTTATCGGCCCTAATTTATTCTCAGGATGTTTTGATAAAATAGGAAAAGAAAGAAAAATGCCAACTTAGTGGGGCAATTAACGGTCTTTTCAATCGGGAGGTGAAATAGCATTCCTGGGACTGTGATGGCTCGCCACCAATGCCATGCCAAGTAGGTAAGTTGCGGACCCTCTAACCCTTCCTCATTGGGCCTTCTTACCAGAAGAAACCTCGCCTCTTTGCCTCAATCCTGCACCCACAAACGCGACAAAAATGCCTAGTTAAAGTAAATCTCAACCCTACCACCGGCGCTGTCACTACCGGAACAGAGGCATGTCCAGTACCTCACTCTGCTTGTTCATCCTGGCCAGCCTCAGCGCAATCCTCAACACCCTGTCACTCATCAAAAATGGATCAGATGTTCCCAGCCGGACATCTCGGGCACTCAAAATTTAAAGCTCAGTGTTGACCAAAGGGTCCCGACAATCCTGCAGGCTAACATGGAGGCGTCGGATTCGAAGCATGGTCCACCGTATCACGAGCCTAGGAGTGGAAAATGGATATTCCCCTCTGGCGTGATGTTGTTCAAGGCAATGAAGTGTAACGGCTGAGATCCCAGGGCCCAGGATGGGCGAGTAATTTTTCCCATACATACCCCTATTAACGAGAGAGCGGGGAAGGAAATTAAGCAATAGGTAGCTGGTAGGAGTCAGTGAAACCCTGCTAGGTAGTAATTGCTCTGTCATCGCCGGGGGTGGAGGGACCGACAGATCATTGTCCCGAGAAGGAGAGCGTAGGTGCCTTGCTAGGAACTCTTGGCCTCCTCTTACCCCTCCGAGCGAGACTGGGTTCGAAGAGGTAGATCTCCAATTACAGAATAACATAGTGGTGCTAACCGCCACAGCTATGATTATCAGTAGTGGCAGGAGGGATTGTGGTTGGTAGATGCGTCACGGGAAGAGGGGTCCATCGGTGAATGAAGTTAGTTGTATCAAGGGTTTGTATCTGCTGGCTTGTGTGCGTGCTTGATGATTTGAGGGCTGCCACGGTTGATTACCTACGTTGGTCGTATGGTTTCCCCTTTACAGCGTTAGTACCCCTGGGAATCTACAGATGGAAAGGAGACAAACGTAACTGTACAGTTCTGGTAAAAGTGGAGAATTTAGTTTCTCAATGGATCGTGGCTTCTTCCCTATTTGGCGCTTCTCAACCGTAATAAACGTATCGCAGAGTATGCGGGATTGCTCTTCTATTTGCCGTAACAAGAGGATTGGGTTTGCTTCTAGCAGGCTTAGGCGCTTGGGTAAGGTTTTGAAGAAGCTTCCTTGGGCTGTTGAGGCTATATGGGGAGGGTGGGAGGGGGATCGAGGGTAGTGTTGTTCACGAGCCGGCTCGAGCCGAGCCCAGACCTGGACTCGAGCCGCCAAGAGGCTTGAGTCTAAAGTGGCCACGATACCTCTACACACTGCCATTATCACTCAAATCAACCAAAAGTTGTATATAGCAACTTGAAAACAAATACAACTAGCCAAATGACCTTCCCACTATCCCCGAGTCCAATTCCTGACTCGAGTCGGCTCGTGGACCCCTGTTCGAGCCGGCTCGCGCCTAGTGACCACCTAGGCTCGAGTCCACTTCGAGCCGGCTCGAGCCTAATGACCACCTAGGCTCGAGTCCACTTGGCTCGAGGCCCCCCAGGCTCGAAGGGCTCGAGCCCGGCTCGGCTCGAGTCTAGCTCGAGTCCGCTCGGCTCGTGCACAACACTACGCGCAACCACAAGGGCAATGCATTGAAGGGTAGATAGGGGTACTTGAGGCCCAGAAATCTCCCAAACCTGTCGCAAACACACCTACAATCCTACAAACCCCAAGAATTCCAAAAGTTTCAAACCGATCAATATGGTACCAAAATCCATCGGTAAGTCAAATACTTTGTCAGAGTTCTACTGTACTAAGGTTACTAACTTGGTTTGGCTGTTTGGCAAAGCCCTTCTAAAGAAATCCGTGGGGCTAATCATTACACTTGGCACCATGGTTGTTGGACCCTGAGGTCCTACCATCATGGAGATTACCGAAAGACACAATCAACGCAGGAAAGATGTTTTTCGTGAGGAGCTGCGTGCTGATCGCCGTGCCCCCGACGACCTACTTCGTCGCGAAAAAGCCACACTCGAAGTGGAAATCTTGCGGAGAACCCTAGCAAGGATGGACAAAGAGGCGAGGGTGGCCCCGGGACCGAATCCGGCAACCAAGTCTCACGGTGAGCAAGGTTGAACAGAGTATAGGGCCGGCGGGGGCTATGGTGGGTGGGAGGGTTGAGTTGAGGGAAGGGAGAGTGGTGGGGGGGAGAGCGGGGTGGCGGGCGGGGGGAGTGGTTTCTGGGCAGGAGGGGTGGTTTCGGGGGAGGGGAGGGGGAGCACTCTGGATGTTACGTTTGGTTTCCTGTTTCCCCAATTTCTATTATTATTATAATAATATTATTACGGAAACCTTGATCAGGAATTGTGCACTTCAATTTCCACCAAGTAACACTCATGAACTAAAGTGGCAAATATCGAATAGAAACCCGCGAATAGATAGTTCAACCAATAGTAGAGCAGAAATCGTTCAATGAATTTCGCGAGCTTTCAACATACCCCCATTAGGGCGTACACTATTCCCAATATCACCCTCTTCATCACCCTGCTATTCACGGACTAACCCTGGCACCCGGGTAAATTTACCACCCCTAAAGTAGCAAGTTGCCGCAGCTTTTGTCGGTCCCCAGTGCTCTGAGTCCGGCCGGGTTCAGGCTTTATTATCAGGATTAGAGCAAAATATCTTCGGTTTTACGCTAGTACAAGCTGTTACAATGGTTCACAAGCAAAATTGTTAACACAACCAATTCACAAGCAGCATATTGGAGAGAAGTAATTTTAGGTTGTGCTAGGCATAGCAAACCCTTCAGATTATAAACCGCCACCATAAACCCTACTACCACGGCGAAACAGAACACAAAAAGAATAAAAAGCGAGAAACTCCAGACCCACAACCACCGGAACCATCCTCACTCTAACCCCGACCATGGTGGAATCTTTTGATGGCTTGCGGGTCTTCGGGATGTCCGCATGGTATTTAGACCTGTTTCTCCGGTGAAGCAGTTGCTTCTGCGGTACTGGTCGTGGTGCGCTCCTTGGCGTGGAACCCCCCCTGCCCAGTCTGCATTGCGTAAAGCTCACAATCCATTTTTGCGGTATCCCTCGGCGATATGCATCTGTTTCGTGTAGTTCATTGCGAACCAGCTACTGACAGAACCTGCCACGATGAGCATAAGTGTCTCCCTGGTCGTGGGACTAGTGTCTGACAAATAATTCCGACAAGCAGTTAGTAACAGGTGCGATTTCTAGACAGTAGGGTTTAGGGAACAAACAGATCGCGCGTAGCATTGTGAATCTGGTGTATCGTGAAGAGAGGATGATGAAACGTGGTGATGAAGACAGGGTGATGAAGAGAGGGTGGGAGTTGTTTGTAGTTCGGATATTTGGAAGGTGAAGGGGGAAAAGGCTCGTTTACATATCCAATTCTCTGTGCTTGGTTACCCGGTTATTGCGTGCCCTCTCTCAGGAGATGAGAATCCAGAGGGATGGCAGAGTGACGACGCAACCCTGTGCTTGGGGGATCCGAAGTACCAGTACTAGAGATAGATTAATTTATGAGTATGGCTTCAGAGGCAGATCTTGAAAAGAGTCTTGGACAATACGGTAGCAGTGGCATCTGTACTTCCAATTCACGCCAGTCTGATATGTACTAAACAAAGGCAATGGAGCAGCATAGTTCAACGTGAGGTTGCTACATGCAAATCTCCCACAATTATTGCCAACGAAATAGCCCGTCGGAGTTGATGTGACAAATTTTGGGTCCCATGATTGAGCTGTGGTCAGTTGGCCTGAGGTGAAAGGCCTTACCCACAAGCCTGGGATTGCATAACCCGAAATACCGAATTAACTGGTGAGGACCGCCTGGCTCTAACACTTTCAAATAAGATTTTTATCCCAGCTTTTGTCTTGGAATCGCAATAAAGCGCTAAGTTATAGGCCAACTCTTTACAATATAGACAGGACTAGGCTCCTCAGGGCTCTAGCCTTGACCCTATTGTAAGTTTCACCTCAGCCGCTTATTTCAATGCTCTAACACCGGGCTGTCCTCACCACTGATTCCAGTCGTCCCGTCTGTCCAAGACAGGGTGAGGACTACAAAGGACGAGACGCACTGCCTTAGCGCCATCCTGTATGGGGTGGACGGCCGTCGACTACGAGCACGAAATATTAGTCAATGAGACAAATACTAGTACTTAAATAAGTTAAGGCTGAAAACAGAAATAAAAATAAAAATAAAAATAAAAGACGAGGATGACAACCGTCCGACTGGCGCCGACGGCAATCCGACTGGATGGCTGGAAGCCCTGGTCCTCACCAGTTAATCCCCTCACTAGGTAATGTGGTAATTCGGTAGCTACTTACTGATCTGAAGTGATTGTGCCTTGCTGTGAATGTCACTATTCTAGAACAGCCAAGGGATAGGAATCCAGTTTCATGGTGTAGTTGGTTATCACACCACAACAACACACTCATGGTCCCTGGTTCGAACCCGGGTGAAATTTATTTGTATTTTTTATATTTATCCTCTCCTCTCGTGCTGGCTGTCTCTTTTACCCTGCACTACCACGAGCCGAGTCCCTTCTATATACACTGCCACGTCCATCACTCCTGCTCCTTCCGGATGCGACGCCAGGTGCTCTGCCGCAAGCCCGGAGCCTTGATGCCTGTCTCCTGCCAAAATCCGATCCGATATCGAAAATCATGTGTAGATCTACACGACAGTTAGTGCCAGAGACTTCCACCCCCACCCCCAACAGTCCCGACAAACACCGCAGTCTCCGGCTATCCTCCTCGTTTCTCCCTCTTCACTCTCTCGAAAAACCACCAATGCATCGTAACTCGCCAAGTGAGTCAAGCTTCCCCCGAGCGAGCTCTTCCGCACAGCACAGTGCGCCTAGAGGCTTAACAACCTACTCGTATGTATCTTACCAGGTCAGCTAAACATTTCCCCTATAATTTTATGATAATGTTATTATTACGATATCCTCCGCACGGTGGATTTGGAGTTATTAGTGCCAAAACTGTGCATCATTGGGGGAAGGGATGCATGCAATCCTGCCGCAGAGTTGGTGATGAGGAAATGAGAACAAGCAGGATTGGGGGTGTACAAGGTACTGGAAGGTGGAAGGGTACCAATAGTTTAAGTATATGACAGAGGGGTAGTGTGATGCAGAACTCATTTAGTGCCCAAGTCGGGCTTCACAAATACGCAATTGACCCTCCAAGGCGGCGAGGCGAGTGATCATCCATGACGCTGATACTGTGCCTTGGGTGCAGAAACAAAAGTATTGTTTCACCAACCACTTTTTTTTTTCAATCACTTCTCGCTCCAGGCTAATGATAGGGTGTGAGCGAAAGTACAGTGTAAGAAAATTGGTGGAAGGGGTGGTATGGCAGGAGGGATGGGTAGGGGGATATTGTTACCGTGGGTAAAGTACAGTCACTCGACAGAAGTGTTCGTGAAACATGTCTCATATTATTAGTCATGCCTCGCTAAAAAGTGCTTCGGTAGTTGAGCACACATCACAATAGTGATAGCAACAGCGAAGCAACTTCAACGATCGTGATACCGTGACCATGTTCTGTTGTGTTCTACCCAAGTATACAGTAACCAAATACCTTTTCATCCTGTCTCCAAGTCTATTCCTCATTTAATTCCTACAATGGTTAATCGATCAGGACCTAGTAAATATACACCTAAAAAAAAAAAAGCACCAAAAACTGCTCGGCGCAAAATGACCAATGCAGAAAAGGGCATGATACTTGCATTTTTCTACTGTTTGGGCAGTATTGCACAAGTGGCATCCCTGGTCAGTCGGCCCTGGTCCACAATCAAGAGCTTCCTCATGTGTGCTACTGAGCTAAAAAACCCAGTGGATAATCTTCCTTGCCCTGGTCGTACTCCTCTTCTTGGCCCACAACAGCGTCGCACAATCATCGGGGCTGCCAAATCAAATCGCCAAATGACCAGAGCCGATTTCC